TTTCTTCCGTGTTTTGTTGTTTTTCGTATTCTTTTCATTGCATTGGATGATACCCACTACTGGGAGATGTGATAAAGGAAATTGTGAGCCACAGGAAGGTGTGACTGCCAGGGAGCAATTTTGTTTGTAGTGTTCTTGAGGACTCTTATTGCTTTTTTCTTCTTTGGGGAATTATTTATCATACTGTTTCATAATTGCAAAGCAACTATCTTCAATCTTGTCTTACACGCCTCTCTATAAAAAGAAAGTTTAATTTGAAAAATGTGACAGAACTTTCCCGCCAACCTAACACTTTAGCTGGCCTCAGCAGTTGTTCCATAAGCCCACATCGGATTTAATAAATCACTATGGCTTTGAACCGGAATAGACTTTGTGCGGCATCTTGGAATGGATGGATCAACGGTGGAAGCCTCACAGAACTGTCAAGCAATTAAAATCAGTTGGCACGATAAATACCGAAGAGGTGAAGAATTTATACGCCCAGCAGTGAATTGGGCTACTCTAAACAAGCTCTGCGTGGCGCCTTTTCCAAAGAAGGTACCCTTATAGCACCTATCAAGCTGCAACATACTGACTCGGATGCCCACTGCGCCCGCCCACCCACAAAGTGTCCGACCTGTCCGATGCTCGTATATTTGCGAAGTGCAAAGTGAGGCGAAGGGATTGATGTGAAGCTGTTGCGATGCTGCATGGATATACAGGGGGGAGGCAAAAAAGACACTTCGACCGAGTCACATATCAGCAAAGTTTTCGCAGCCCAGACAGAAGACGTGGATACGAGTACCAGGGCGGAAGATACCCAAGATGTTCCTCGATAAGCAGGAGCTGGCTCTCGCCCATCACCTTCATGTACACCAAAATATGAAGTCATCTCCAGTCGCAGCCTGACTGGCGGGGCGAAACTTTCAGTGTGGAGTTCATTCATGGATAGCTACCTGGAGCCAGTACTCTCGATGCGGAGACCTCGCAACATCTAGGCAACTCCGAGAACGTGCATATGGTCCAGATATCATCTTCACCGCTGTCGCCAAGGGCGCGGGTTGATGGTATGGACCGGAAGTACCTGGAATGGGAGGACCGATATTTCCTTCGTGGACCCCGGACTGAAGGTGGGCGCTGCGAATTACATATGAGCAACTTGAGGAGTAATAATCTCTGCCTTCAGGTGCGTGCGCGTACCATCCTTGAACTTCGTAGTGCTAAGGATTGGCTGTGCAAGCTAGACGGAATCGAAGAGTGTCGGAAAACTCCGGTTACTATGGAATGAAGATGTTGAGCACCAGAAGAAGACGTAATACCCAAGTGTGTCACTTGACCTAAACCCCTTCCGATTACGTCGAATCGGCTCCGGGAGGAACTCAACAGAGTGGTCGTACCGGTGGCGAGAAATCGACGATACTACTCAGGACCGAATCACGTTCGCATGGCAGAATCTCTCGATGGCGCTCGTCCAGAAGGCTGTGGCGGAGTATCATGATAGTGTACAATGTGCTGTTGAATATGGTGGTGGAAATGTCCAATCAGAATTTAATAAAGTGTAACTTATAGCGCCTTGAAAGTCTAGGAAGGAGAAGTGTCTTTTTTGGCCCCCTGTATATAAGTATACATGCACCCGTATTTACAGTAGTAGATTTTGGCACGATGCCAACGTAGAACTCGTCCGAAATAGCTTTCTGAGTGGTGTCGGGCAAAGTTTTTTCGGCAGCTTTCCGACTGTTTATCTTCGCTTTTTCGCCGTTTCCCCACTATTAGCACCCTGTCCCATTTTAAGACAGAACAATATGGTGCCAACTGCCTTATGCACGCAATATCACATGCTGAAGATCATTCGCACAGAAGTCACGCAATTTAATCTCTTTTTTCCATGGTACGCAGCTTACGCCGGACGTTATCGAAAGAAAATTTCAGCCGTGTCAGAGCTGTGCATCCCAAGTTTCTTCAGGTTTGCCGAACGGTGCACTCCTATAAAATTCGAATATTCAAGAATCTTCTTAAGAGAAAGTTCCGTGACATGCTGTCGATATGTTCGCAGATAGCGGTGTTCAGAAAGTGTATAAGCTAGTTGATTGACTGTGAAAAGAAAGCAGTTGAGAAGTGGGCCGGCTGAAGAAAGCCACCTTGTTCCGAGCAGGAGGCAAAGGGTCGGTGCGATTAGCGAGCGAGAGAGCACATGATCATGTGAGAGCATGCAAATGAGCAAGACGATAGGTGCGACAGCTACCGACGTGGGCGGAGTCACTCAAGCAAGTTCAATCGCATCGACCCCTACCCGTTACAACCTTCTGAACGAAACCTAAAAATTTGTCCATTGCGAGCTCGCATACGCCTTTCCGCGCATTGAGCTCTTAATCCTATAAGAGGTCGTGAAACATGTGTTCAACATATCTCATTCCCTATGATATGTGCTCATTGAGTCAAGAGTAATCTAGTAGTAATGTAATGCGCTGGAGTGTTGATTGAGGAGACTGGAGTAATCTAAAGGTGCTACCAGCAAATAAACTCCTCATGATGAGGGCCATGAGGTCCGCGCCGCGATGGGGAAAGCGACTGTAGAGGCCGCCTGGAGCGGCATAATGAGAAAGTTCTGCTCGCGAAAGGCCAGGCGCAGAAACAAAGAACTCGGCGGACCGCAGGGCACCCGAGAGATACAAAAACGCGTCCTGCGAGATCAAGGAGATGATTTTCTTACAGAGAGAGGAGGATGATGATCCTCTATTATGCCTAAAAGTTTTGTAGAATGTGAAAAGGTAAGAGCGGTCAGCAGAAGCCATGGAGAGGTGAGAGCGCAGAGAAAAACAGAAAGTTATCGGAAATAGTTACCGGAGCTACCGAAAAAAAATCAGAACTAGTCGCAGCTTCACAGGAGTTACAGGTCTCACTCTGGTGGGATCTGTTAATTATTATAAATTAATAAAACGAATTAGCAAAAGTGTGGAAAGTGGTTCAATAATTTGAATGTATTAGTATCGACAGTAAGAAAAAAGCGGAACACAAAAGCATACGTACCTGGTTCATTGAGCCTCACACAGACGAGGCTTTTATTTCGATGAGGTGACGGATTGTTGTTCGTGTTAACGAGTACACACGCCCAGTCTGCCTGAAACTACGGAATCCTAGGAAAATAAGAAGTAATTCTTGTCATTGTGAGGGCGAAACGCACCTGCTCACCGCTTGTTATCCACATTTTGTGACCATTGATGATCAGGTCAGTACCACTTCGGACAGCTCTCGTTCGGATTGCTGAAAGTAAAGGAAAAACCTCTACGAGAGCCAATGAATTCTTCACAACTGCTGATACCTGCTACATCGCTCCCTGCTTCAGGTTCACTGACGGCAATACAGGAAACAAGATCTCCAGCTATAGATGGGGCAAGAAATTCTTCCCTCAGTGAATCAGAACCGAACTCAGCCAAGGCAGGGGTGGCCATATTCGTCTGAACTATAAGTGGACACCGTTGAAATCAGGAGATCAAAGTCGCTATACCTGCACGCAGACGGCCATCGGGATTGCCGCGCAGTCAATGCTACCTAATTCCTCTGCTACGGCGATTGAGTAGGAAAAGTCCAGACCTAGTCCGCCGAATGCTACAAAAAATAGTCGAGAAGAAATATGGGATTCGGATCCGGAGGAAAAGTGATCATAATTGTTGTACCTTCTGGCTTGTTCACTGCTAAAACGCCGAGATTTCCGAGCTGTTTGAAGACGGCATGAGCCGGGAATCGACCGGCATCCTCCCATTTTTGTACGTGAGGATTGATGGAGCGATCAATCAACTGAATCGAAATTGGTGCTCGACCGGCTACCTTCTTGGGCACACCTTCGCGTTGCGCAGTGTCAGGTCGTAGCGTGGCAGTTTCGCCGCTCACCGCAAGCGACAGTGTTCAGTGGGGTTGATGTCTCAAACCTAGCGCAGAGTTGATAGGCGAACTACAGCACTTATTCTCCCTATCAAGGAGATTAGGATGGCGTGGCTGTGCACTTCGTTTGAGCCCAGCGCTTTCGGTGGGATATTGTCGTTTTAGGTACTTGTAATCACTTGTAGTGAAACACGGAATAACAGTTGTCTCAAATGGAAATAGCACGCCATAATCGTAGTTTACGCCGCGTTCAAATTACGTACGCGCCGTGCCCTTCTTATCTCCCTGATATACAGACTACAGCATCGCGCCGTGACTAACGTAACCTAACGTTGCACACTATTTTCGAACTATACTAGCTTCCATCGAATTTGAAACCTTTAAACGCACCTTTGCCACATTCTTAGTGCTCTACCCTACTACGAGTTTTCTTTTGTTTTTTGGCGCTAGTGTAGTTTGGAGAATGTGGAGCTGTGATAGAGTTGTTTTGCCCATTGCTGTTCGCCTGCGTTCTCGCCCTTTTCGATGAAACCTCAGGCTGCGCTCATACTCTGCGGCAGCGTCCACCAGCGACAACTAGCGTTGCGAGCGTCCGGCAGCTTCAGCGACTAGGAAAGCATAGATATCGATCTAGGTCCACCGGCGTCCACCAGCGACCACCAGCGTCTCAAGGACTAGGGAAGTATAGGTATCGATTTAGCGACCAGCAATGTCTACCAGCATCCACCCCGTCTATCAGCATCCAGGAGTGGAGACTGTAGAGCGATAGTAGGGCATGTCGCTAAACGGATATCTGTACTTTCTCGTCTGCGATACGGCCGAACGCTCAGAACGCTAGTGATCGCTGGTGGACGCTGCCGCAAGGTAAGAACGCATAAAGAACCTAGCCCTATTTTGCAGTCAACTGAACCCTCTCTTTCCATAGCTACATTGACAATCTTTTTGCAAGCTACTGGGTCAGCAGTTAGTTCATTTCTGATTGGTATTGAATGACGTTCACCTTGCGCAGTTCTCGTCTGATTGTCATATGTTTTTCATTGTACAGCATATGATGTTTTGTCGGCAGAGCGCGGGTGCCGATCCTCAATGCTGCGCTCGACATCGTCCCCGCCGATGCTCCCTCGAGGGTTGCCTGAAAGTCCAGCTTCATAAGAAAGCAAACCTTTTATTGGAAAGGTGACATGCACGCATAGAAATGGCTTTTGTACGTTACCGTGATCAGACACATCATGGCAGTGAAAATCATAACGAGAGGCATAGATATTTGTAGATAAGCTGATTCAGTAAGCTTCCAAGCTAACTCAAAGGAGGTGTCCGCTTTTCTAGGATACGAGGAATTGAAATCTTGGAATTAATTGAACCAACTGAGCCTTTTCAAAGGTGTTGCTTCGCGGTCATCCATTTCACAGAAGAGCTGTTGCGCCTCTAGTTTTTTCGATAAACGTGAGGGAAAGATCTCAAAAGTGTCGCTGCTTGACGCTCGAGTTTGGCACTCAAAAATCGTTAGAAAATAAATCGTCAAAAAAGCGAAGCACACTATCTTATAGGGATGAAGCTTTCCTATCAGAAGATCTAGGAAATGATGGCAAAAGATTCATCTTTCAGGCAGAATTTCGAATTAGAAAAAAGCGCTGTTGCTCGTGGACCAGCTCAATGAGAGATACGCAATATGTATAGTTGCTAACGATTTATTATTTTCTGCTTTGTAATATTTCCAAGGTCCGTAAGGAACCAAAGCAGTGTGCACGATAATTAGGTACTACCGTCTATTAGGTTGTTGCATAAGTTCTTATACACGTGTTCGATTCGCATGGATGTTGGTATTACGTCATCACGTGTGCGTGACGTGTACATTATACTCTTTCATTACACTAGCTATCACTCACCGAGCTTGCATTTGCAGTACACAATGTCGCACAATTTGCACTGTGACAAAACGTACCTGCGCCACTGTTTGGTTTTGCTCCACGATTTCGGCTGGAATGCAAAGGAAGCCCATACCAAGCTGGTGGATACATACGGTGAGGACGTCATCTCTTACATGACATGCAAGAATTGGTTCGCCAAATTCAAGAAAGGAGACTTTTCTCTCGAAGATGCTCCGAGGTCGGGTCGGCCGATGGAGTTGGATTTGGAAGTACTACGTTCCACCGTGGAGGAGGACCCGTACCTCACCACCAGAGAAATGGCGACCATGCTTAGCTATGATCATTCGACGGTTGCACGTGGACTAGAAAAGCTCGGCAAGGTAGCAAAGCTTGGTCGATGGGTCCCACATGAACTGTCCGCTTATGACCTCTCGAGGAGGGTGACCACCTGCACTTCTCTCCTCACTTTCCAAAAGAGGCTTCACTTTCTCAACTCGATGATCACTGGAGATGAGAAGTGGGTCCTCTACGATAACCCTGTGAGGAAGCGGCAGTGGGTCGACAAAGGAGAACAGCCAGAAGCCACCCCAAAGGCCGACCTTCACCCCAAAAAGGTTCTCCTGTCCTGTTGGTGGTCCAGAGGCATGGTTATAAGTTCCAGAAGAGGCATGGAGTACTGGGAGCTGCTGGAGAAGGGACAGACGATTGACGCTTCCACATACGTGACCCAGCTGCGGAAATTGAAAGATCACGTCGACCGTACTCGTGGAAGGAATGCGGAAATCTACTTCCACCATGACAACGCCCGACCTCACACTGCAAAGGCGACCCAGGCCGAGCTGGAGAAGTACGGATGGCTGATGGTCGCCCACCCTCCCTACAGCCCTGACCTCGCTCCTTCTGACTACTGGCTGTTCAGCCACCTGCAGCGCTATCTGGACGGAAAAAAGTTCGAAACAAAGGATCAGGTCAGAAAGGCGCTCGACGACTTCTTCAAGTCCCAGCCTCCGTCGTTCTGGAAGGATGGAATCGACAAGCTGCCTGAGCGCTGGCGTCGAGTAGTGAATGGTGATGGTGCATACCTCTAATCTCCAGGCTGGTTCGTTTTGAGATATTTACAAAAAAGTCGTGTATAAGAACTTATGCAACAACCTAATAAATGCTAGCAGGCTGCTATATAGCGGGAAAAAAAAGGGAAAAACGAAGTGAAACGAATAAAAACATACGAAAATAAGCTTTCTCTCTCAATGACTCGACAAGGGATTCCAGACGAATTTCCCGTCTGAAATCTGAGTTCGAACGATCTTGATAATAACCGGTACGGTAGATACAGTTGCACGTTATGTACACATATATTCATGCAGCACAACGGCCGCTTCACGTCAATATCTCATATTTTACTCCGCAAATGAAGAAACACGAGCATCAGGCGCCCGACGCTCACCGCACGCCCCCCCCCCCCCCCCCATTGCGGTGGGGGAAGGGGGGAGGGCGTGCGTGAGCCGTCCGGGTCGGGATGTTGCAGCTTGATAGGACCTAATAAGGGCACCTTCCTTGCAGAAGGAACCTTTGCAGGGGCGCGGAATTTGGTCCTCAAGAGTATTCTCCAGCTTCTCTCTTCTTGCAACCTCGGCATCTTAGTTGTAAGTCTTTCAGTTGTTGTGTGCCTTACGAGGTTGATAGGTGGAACATTTATTAATGGCCTAACGTTTCGACCCAATCGTCGTCTTCAGAGGCCTGAACATGTTTCAAGTTTTAGATTCGCAACCTACCCCACCAAGCGCCTCGTCGAATCTAGCGGTTCCGACGTAGTGTCGGGAACCCTTCGAGAAGACGCCACTACTGCAAGAAACAGGCTCACCAGTTGTTCCACCCTTTAAGCGGATAGGTCCGCAGCCACACCACAGAGCTGTTAGTAGAGAAATGAAGAACCCTACATTGTCAGATAGGAGCTTTAGAACTTTCAGCTAGAAAAGCGTTAGAAGCATTCTGGATATTCACTAGGAAACCCAGAATGAACAATCGAGATGAGTGTCCTTCCATCACCAGTGACCTACTACCGTTTATACCCCACTGCGGACTGTAAAATGACAGAGCGTGACGTACGTCTCCACGATATGTCATCACATGGAGACAATGTAGGGTTCTTCATTTCTCTACTAACAGCTCTGTGGTGTGGCTGCGGACCTATCCGCTTAAAGGGTGGACCAGGGCACGCCATCTCAATGGTGGATACTCCGCCATCTCAGATGGTGGTATCATCAGATGATAGGGTTCCATATAGATGACAAAGGGTAAGTAACGTTCGACTGAAACAAAAAAAAAGCACAAAAAACATGCCACCTGCCCTAGATAGACCCCATTTCGATCCCAGTTTGTACGTGCCCAAGCAACTCTATCTCCAAAACTACGCCCTCATATCACGGCTGATGTGGCTGATTCCCCGTAGAGATTGTGCCACGCCGCACAAGTGGCGCATTATCAATATTTTGCGTCTGATATGCATTTTCGACGGAACGTCTTAGGGGCGGAGTCTGGAGGCGGAGTCACTGGAAAAAAGGAGGAGCCACTGAACCTATATTGCGCTACAGCTCCCCATCCCATAGATTTTTTTGCCGCGAAACCCGTACAAAGTTGTTCGTCGCCCATCGCTCGAACCTCCTGACGCCATTATTTTCCAACTCGATACGCTGATCTGCGGACGTGCCTTTAAAGGGTGGAACAACTGGTGAGCCTGTTTCTTGCAGTAGTGGCGTCTTCTCGAAGGGTTCCCGACACTACGTCGGAACCGCTAGATTCGACGAGGCGCTTGGTGGGGTAGGTTGCGAATCTAAAACTTGAAACATGTTCAGGCCTCTGAAGACGACGATTGGGTCGAAACGTTAGGCCATTAATAAATGTTCCACCTATCAACCTCGTAAGGCACACAACCAACTGACCTGCCAAGAAGATTAATCCAATCTTCTTCGGCGACTGTCGTGGCCCAACTGCTTTAAGACTCTGACGAAAAAGAGCTATCAAATAATACTTTAGCACACATATTCAGTATCAGCAAGCAAAAGCATTAGCTATGTATCACTGACTTCTATGAGTATAGAGAGTCGTTGAATAAAGGAATGAAAGAGGAACTCAGTGTGAAGCAGTTACCAAGGCCTGCTTCCACCTTCAGCAGTACCAGAAATTCTGAAAAATTAGGTTTACCCGTATCCAAGAGAATTCGTTTCGGTAGACCACCACATCTCAAGCAGCTCGGGGATACACAAAAATGAATGTTTTCTATTAATAGGCGGCCGACGAGAATGCGTCTGTGCTGTGCGTCAGAAATTTTAAGAAAGAAAAGACGCGATGGCTGCTGAACATTTTGGTTTTAGTTTTTATTAGTTTCTAGGCACTGACACAGCCTTGTTCCTTATTTGGCCAGATTTCAAACTCTTTGTAAAGGTGTGAAACACATAAAAATGAGTTATGCCTTGGACGCAATGTTCTACTAGAGGCGATTGGCAGCAGCTGCTTGTAAACGTGTTGCGTTAGCAGACGAGTTTGTTTAATCGCTTGTTTATCGATGAAGTAATTGAGTGAAAGTTGATAGAATAAAGCAAAGCTAATGAGAATTAGTTTGTTTACAGCAACTTCCTAAAGACCGGGTTGTGAGACCCTGTGCTGCACAGTGAACTGGAGTCAGAAGTAAGCTCGTATAGAGATGGAAATAAAGGCCTTAAGAACTAAATTCTGATGAACAGCGTATCTGTAGTCCTCATTTCCAGATAATGCCCTAGTCTTTTGGCCACCTCCGTCCAACTTTGGTAGGACGATAATTAGTTTCCAGTTGACTGAAGGGAACCTATACCCCAATCTTTATCAGTAATGTATTTTAAAGAATGTTCGTTTTGTTGTTTTTAGCGTACTAAAACCTACATAATGAAGCTTATCTGTACCTCCATGATTTGTAGAACATTAAAGGCAAAGCCCGCGTTCGTTTGATGTTCCCATGCCTACTTCGGACATCGTAGATTTGCAAGAATGGAGGATGTACTAATTCCGCAGCTCAGAAATATGTACAAGAGAATGGCGCCGCTCGCTCGTGAAGAGGCAGCTGCCCCACCCACCTGGCACCCACAACGCCCAACGTTCATTTCCAATGGTGATGATGGTGCGGGTTTCTAATTCTCTCCACTTCGAATGGTGATAGTGAGGTGATAAGGAGTAAGAGCTGGCACC